GCTTTGATCAGCAAGGTGCGGATTTTTTAAAAAGTGTGAGGATTGTCATGGTGCCAATGTTACAAGTCAAATTGTAAATAGTCTCAGGGCAGTTGAAGAGTAATATGTCAGGTAGAAGCTGCATCAGCTGTATAAACAATTAGGCATAGTGAAATCAATTGGAAACTTGAACTCAAGCAGAAACTACCTGTTGAACATCACTATAGAGGACTGCTAAGGTATCATCTCACAGAAGCACAGCAAAAAAAAAAACAAAAACAAGGACTTACTTGTGGGAGCAATAAAAGGTATGGCATCAATAATGACAGGTTGGAAAGACAAACGCTTGAAATACAGGGAATACCTGTACTAAAAATGGATCACTTAATGGTTGCTTGTCATCTAGTATCACTTTTGAATCGTGAAACAGCAAAATTTGGAAAGACCAGTGCTTGTGGGACCAGGTTCGTTTCAGACCTAATAGGAATACTATTGACCATATCCTATGTAGAAAATAGTTTCCAGGAAGAGGAGGGATTTTTACTTGTTTAGTGGCATGTGAAGCCATTTGATATTTGTCATAGTACAAGAGATGCTATCTTGGTATTATGTAGTGGCTATGGAGTAGTATATTAAGAAGACAATAGTAGGTGACATTGCTACAGATGATACAATTCCAAGTGATACACCCAAGATTGTCTCCCTGCTTTGCATTTCAGATTTTTATGTACCCTTCGTATATTTGTGGGTACATATACTTAACACATTAACATCTATACTTTAAATATACAAAGTTCAAAGCCATAAGTGACATAACACTGATTTTATAACAGTGCAGTTCTCATTGTCTTCCAGAAGACCACTGCTGAAGCATCATTTTTTGCACATGTCTGGAAGTAAGGCTTGATAGCTTTAGAAGTTATTTTAACATTGAGTAGTAAATTCGGTGTATATATCTCAAACTCATTCCAAATCTACAGATTTGATAGAGATGACTGCATAGAGATTTTCTGTTTTCTAGTTTTTGATGTTATTTTGGAGGGTAATATTACATTGTATTACTTTCATACAGAAATTTTCTTTGATCAAAAAACCAGCAGCTAACTTTCAAGAATCTTTTGTTTCCTGATCTAGACCTGCTTTGATGACAGTAGAAGATGGAGGATACGAGATTTGTGTTCATGTGGTTTCTGAGTTGATGGAAAAAATCTTCCTCAATATTCCTGCAGACTGTCTGAACAGATTAATAGGTACTGTTTCATGAATTACTTGTGAAAGAAACAGTCAGTGAAGTTCACAATCGAAGTAAAACTTTTAATGATTGACAACTTAGAATTGGGATGAGATTGTTCTGGATACAGGATGATTGCTCATATTGTACGAGACATACAAAAAACACCCAACAACCTCAAAGAGAACACTTCAGTTGCTATCTGACAAACTCAGAAGTTCAGAGTTGAGGCAGCAAGAACAAGAGGTGAGATGCTATGAACACTTACTCAGTATAACAAAGTATTCAGTAACTAAACGGATTCCTTATATGCAAAATAGAATCTCTTGGCAGTTTTTAGAAATAGCTGACATGCTTTCATGATGTAAATAACTGAGCAGTGTTTTAGACAGGCTTCCCTTGATACATCCTGTTTGACTGTTTGAGAGGTGTGTTACATGGCTCACAGGGGTTACAGTTTAGTGAGAAAGTCTTAGCACATTGTTTTTAAAAGATACTAAAAATAAAAGTTAATTTTGTATTCAGATGTTTAGCTACACTTCCAATAATTCAGTGCAGGTTTTATGGAGGTAGAACTTAAATGCTAGGTGAAATTATGAAAACAAAGAGTAAATTGGATTGTTCTCTCTTGCAGTGCCCTCTTCGGATATAACCTACAGCACAATAGTGGCAGATCTGTGTCACTTGCTGCTAGCAGATACAGAAGCATCCTATTTGTTGGAAATTCGGAGCCATTTTGTCTTAGATGAAAACAGCTATCCTTTGCAAAAGGATTTCCATCTGCTAAATTTTCATCCTGATCTTTGAAGCATTGACCTCTGCGATAACCGAGTGACAGAGACCATAGGAACCCACAGATGGCAAACAGAATTACAATGAATTAGCTCAAGGAAGCAAATCTTTTTAAAAATACAAGAAAGTATTTTGGTTTTAACTTACATAAAAAAACCTCAAAAGGACTAGTATGGAATACTGCTAATAGTATATACTCCTTCTGTAATACTGATAAATTGTCATAGAGTATATTTTTTATACATATGTTTTTAACTTGGGTATCTGTCTTTTTTGACCCAGAAAATCCCCTAGGATTAAGAGACTGAATTTTTCCATATATATGGCTCAGTAGAGGAAGACAGCCACATTTCAGTAATATTATTTTAGGAGATTTGTTTGTCTTATTCTGTACTTCATCTGTAACTTGGTTACGTCTTTGCTTGCTTTGCTCTTGTGGTTGCTTTCCTCCTTTTAACAGCGGAGCTTCTGCCATTTACCCTCAACAATTTTGCTGCTATTGTTTTCTTTTGTAAAACAACTGTCTTATTGAATCTAATTTTGTGTAGAAGTTGTTGCACTAATTTAAGATGTTTTATACAGTTTAAACTGGCGCGTTTTCATGGACCCAAAAATTATTTAATTGTTGCAGTATTTATTTTTGTAATTTTGTTACTATTTATTGTTGTAACATTACTGTATTTATCCAGCAAAATATGGCAAATAAACTTAATCACCTTAAGCCAATTTAATCAGTTGAACACTGGTCTGCAGAATGGTCTCCCAACTTGATCAGACTTACAAATTAATTTAATTCTTTTGAAAGTCTTAGTGATTTTTATCTGTAAAAGACTGAGTGAATGGTGACTGCACCTGACTGCATAAACTATCAGGATACACTTAACAGTCTCATAATTATTACTCTGCAAAAGCAATTAAATACAAAGAACAGTATTTTTCTGATATAAATGCTGTGAAAGTGATTAGTTAGATACTGATCTTTATATCTCTGATACAGATTGTGCCTCTTACTGAGACTGGTAGAAGCTGTAGGGTATGAATCATATTTGCTCTCTGGCTCAATCCTTGCAGATCTTTACCTGCACTGGTCTCATTTAGGAAATCTGTTTCCACATACTGTTTCTGCTATCCTCAGGCTTCAAACACAGAACTGTTCTCAAAACTGAATAAATCAAGTTGTATCTCATGTGAAAGCAGTTTCAGACTGTTGGGTTTTTAATTATGTTGGTTAGAGCTATGTGTAAGCCATGTCTTGTCTTGTGTACCAATAAAGGGGAAGATATTAATGTTTCTGATCAGTCTGGCAGCAAGAGACAATCCTAAGGATTATTTAATGATTTTGAAGAAATGAATGCTCAGCTGAAGTTTCACAAGGTCACTTAATCTTATTTCTGCATTTAACTACTGGCGTACTGATCAATCTGGTCAGATTCTATTGATCAAACAAGTTTGTGAAGCTCTGCTTCTCATAAACTTAGTCTTCTGATTTGATTCCTAGCCATCTTGTGATAAAATAACTTCTCAGTATGTTTGTCTCTGAAACACTCTGACAGTTTTGTCAGTGAGCATAGAAATGCTGATCTTATGCCACCAAAATCAATTTCCTGCTGTACCAGGATACCTGACATTGGTGTAAGAAAGACAGCAGAGTGACACCAAAAACTATGCTCAACACTAGCACCACTGCAGTGTATATCGGGTGTGAATGACAGGACAAACATCTCCATATTTAGCCACTTCTGCAACAGAAACACTGCAGAGTCTTAGAGGAATGATAATTTCCCCAGTGTTGAGCCTAGAGCAACAGGAATCAGTCACAGAAGAGACTAATTGTAGTGTCCTCATCTGATGATCAAGAATGAAAGCTTACTTTTGCTCTTGTTCATAAATTGTACTAAAGATAATATGGAAAAATCACAGCTTTGTAAAAGGAGAATTCAAGAGACTGTTAATGATTGAATTTCACCTCTCTGTAAAAGCACTTTTTTAGTTTCTTGTGACCTGTCAAAAACAGGATGACATTGTCCTACCCATCACCTTGGGGAAAATCCTAAGCTTCTGTGCCTTTTCTACTGTATTCTAACTATGCTTTCCTCAGTAATGTCTGGTTCTAGAATGTGAATTTAATGCCTAAAATTACGTTGAAGTGAAGGACAATTTCAGCATTTGGATTTAAATGAGGTATTAGTGCCAATGCTGATCTGTATGAGTGAAAACATTGCAGGACCATTTAGAGTTTAGTAAGATTCTTGAAAACTGGACATGGGTTACATTGGAGAAATCTGAAGGATTGTTTTACATCCTGTCAATATCTGGTCTCATTAGCATGATTTGATAACTTTGGGTGGAAATCCTGCCATCTGGACTGGTGAGCTGCGTGTGGCTAACCACCAGGTTCTACGTCCTGTGGTTAGCTCTCTCCAGCTGACTTGGACCTGACTGCCTCATTCTCCTCTTGTGATTTTTCATATCACCACTCTGACTCTTGTTTAACAGCATTCACTCTTAGAATCCAAGCTACAAACATGACACAATAGTTCAGTGTTATGAAATGTACCGTAATTCTATAGTTTCTTTGGTTTCTATCTTCACTTTAGTAATTAGTTGTAAAATTTCTGGGTACTGCTGCTTTCTGTTTACTACTTTGGACTTTTCTTCCTGCCTTTCAAACAGGAAGCCATTGCACTTTCTGTGCCTCTGCCTGGCATAGAGATTGCTTCTGAAGGAGCTTTTCTGATCCTTTATCACCTGTGATGCGTGTTGCTCCCTCTCAGTTTCAGCAAGCTGCTGCTTTTAGAAAGCACAGTTATATTAGGAGCAAGCAATTATCAAGTAAATCCATCTGGTCTCATTTCCTCACCTAGAGAAAAGATAGAGTAGTGCAAATGGCAGTGATCATTAGGCTTCCTGAAGTACTAGTATAATTCTAAGTGGGAGAGAAGGTAAGGCAGAGAATGATCCACAAGGGAATATAAATAAATGCTCTGCTTGAGTAGTGTTAGGGCTTGTTCTCGAAGATCCTATTCTCTAGAACAAGAATGTAACTGTTATTCATGTCTGTTCTAAAATAGTGGTAAATTGCTGCTTGCTGTCATTTGATAGGGTTGTACTTTCATGAAGTCACATGCTAGATTAATTACAGAGCTTTAGAAATCCCTGTATTTGTCAGTAGTAATGGGAAGTATTGAGGAAGGTGTCACATTTTTTATGCTCTGATATGTATTTCTTGTATCCTCTGAAGTGCCACCTGCTCTGGATTGTAGGGCAGCAAGGGGATGTTGCTCACTGTATTAAAGCAGGAGAAAAAAAATGCTACTGATGACATGAGACAAATGTTTTATTATGAAACAAACCCAAAACATAGCAGAACTGAACTATCAGAATCTAATTACCCCAGTAACAAAGTATGGCTTGTTTCCACTCCAGTTAAATCATCCGGATGTTTGTTTATTCTTTTCAGAGTCACTCAGCGCAAGGAATTCTGGAGCTGATAGCAGGGAGGAAATCATGCTTACTGACAGCATGGCGCTCTTCCTGGAGCCTTGATCTCCTTGCCCTCAGAACCACTGCAGTGAGGCGGCCCAGGTTGTCATCGTAGCTGAGGGAGAACTAGTTATCACCATACTCAGAAGGAGGCTTTGGAAGCCGAACAACGCTGTCAAATATATCTGAATATCTCTCTCTTCGCACAGACAAATGGAGGGGGGAGGGGCGAAGTTGTTCTGCATATTATCGGTTTCTGCCACACCAAGGCATACGAGTGAATTGTAATGGCTTTATGCTGTTGTGACATCTGACAGAACCAATTAATCAGCCTCCCTCAACCTTTGAATTCCTGTCTCTTCCAGGTGATGCCTATTGCCTTGCCACTTCTGCTTTTTTTCCTGCTCTAGTTCAAAACAGAAGCAAATAACAAAAGATGGTGTTGTATGTAACTGTCTCCTAACTCGTGCCACTGGTTCTGAGCCATTGGATAATCCCTATACAACAGCTATAGATCTGCAGGCTGGTAAGACAGGAACTTTGATTCCAAGTGTTTATCAATACTTCTGCATTTCATGTATTTGACACAACTACTTCAGCTCTACTCCTCCAGTACCTGTGAGATGACAGAGGCTCCACAATCCAAGCAGCCTGGTATCACACACCTCCAAGTTTTCTTTCTCCAGATCTCTCCATACGACTAGTTTGTTGCTATCAGTTAATGTTTCATTTTTCAATGGGAATATAATTTGTTCTAGGAGATCATACTTCTTCTGTTTATCAACATGATAAACCGAAAGAGTCCTTTGGAGCAACATTTTACTGAAAACCTGTACAGAAAAAGGAAGAAAATATTAATAATTATAAAACACGTGAGACTTTTCTACTCTAGAATGACTTCAAAGGAAGAATTTTTCAGTGTGTTAAAGGTAGGTGGAGAATTCCTTTGATTATTTGAAGTCCACTTTTTTGATTTGCCTGAAGTTTTAGCTAAGCAGAAGTCTGAAGATCCAAGCTAAAATAGGAGGAGTTCATTTGAAAAATGTGAAGTTAGCCGGCAGTTTTTGACTCCTACAGATCTAGTGTTATATGATGCGTTCACTTCCAGACACAAATATTTAGAAATCTGTAAATGTTAATTTTTCAGTTGTCTGAAATGCAAACCTTTTTGGTTTTAAAGCTTTTGTCTTGTGACACCTGCTCAAAGCCTCTTGGCATAGGGAGCCAAGCTCCCAGCTTTATAGACCTATAAAAGTAGTGTACCAGACATCTCATGAGTTCTACTTTCTAGCCTACTTCCACAGCAAAGAAGCTAAGAGCTCTGAAAGCATTAGTTCAGTATAGGTTGTTCCTGGACTTCTGGAGCTGCTGGGCTAAACTGCTCAGCCATAGTTCAAACTGGAGTTTTCATAATTCACAGGGCAAGTTCCGTAATCCTCAACTTTGGTGCAGACCACAAGTAAGATCAGTTCTGGAGCCACAGACTTACGTAGCCCAGGATCTCCAAAAGCCCCAGTAACAAATCCTATTTCCAGGGGAAACGACTTGTATCTTGGTAGAAGTTTCTAGAAAATAATTTTTCACTAAACATGTACTGTAGTTTGACAAGTCAATATTTACAAACAAAAATCTGCTTCATCAAAAGGAAAAGTACCTGAAAAACAAAGTTTTCATCAAAACGTGTGTTAAGGGTTTGGCATTGTGTTTTGGACTGCAAAGTAGCTTCTTTCATTGGGCAGCAAGTAGGTTTTCAGAAATGAGCTACAGGACTCAGCAGGAGGCTGCGGCTTTCTGACTTGGATCAAGGAGAAGAGGAGCCTCCCTGACTCTCGCTCCTATTTGATGGAGAACCAGATGCAGCCAATGCTGCCCTCAGGAAAATCCCTCTCACTTCTGTCTTCAGGAAACTCATATAGCTCAGGGTTAATGGTCCCTACAACATAAGCTCCAGCTTCGTGAAATAAAAACCAAGCAGCCTCAGATTAGTCTCAAGACCGTAGCAGGCATTTTATAACAACTGCTGTATTAGGGAAATCACATGAATCTCTTTATGCAAAAAAGGACTGTTAATAAACTTGGTATTTTAATTCCTTTTCCTTCAGATTTGGGGGAGTAGCTGTAGTCTGCACCACTTCTGTTTTCTTTCTCTCATTCCTGTGACTATCTTGATAGTTTTGGGTATTTGTTGTTGCAGTCTGCAACGGATCACTGCTGTTCCTGGTGACAGCGATCAGATACTTTGAGTTACACTTATGTTGGGCCTTTACAAAACACAGAAGGAGAGATTGCTTTGTCTGTCCTGTGCATGGTCCTACAGCAGTGGGACCAGAATGGGTACGTTCTGGCCCAGTTGCTCTCTCTCTATATATAAATACATATATATACATACAGTGTTTAGGGCTTGTACTGTGTAACGCTATGTCTGGTATGCCCCCAGTAAACATGATTCATAATAAGAAAGTTATCCTTCAAATGAGTGCCCTTAACTGTCCTGTTTTTGCAGCGCCACAACCAAAGAATGGAATGATGACCATGGCCTGGACTGAGGAATCGCGTAGGGGTCACCGTCTTCCTAAGTGTGTTCTGCGTTCGTCAGGTTAATCCAGTCTCGCCTGTGCAATGTTGGTGGAATGATAAACGGAACGCTTCGGGATCTGCTCAAGACAACAGCTATTGACTCTTCTGGATTAAATATGGAAACCAAGCTTGGTAACAGCAAAAAGTTTTTCTCTCACAATTTTATAAAAATTGTACAGAGATGCATAGGTAGAAATGATAAATACCTGTTGTTTTGCAATTTATTTTATTCGTATAATGCCTAAAGGTCTAGCGCGGGACATCAGATCTTAATTCTTCAGACAGATCCCTCACTTTTTCCCTTCTCCTTTAGAATTGATCTTTCAAAGGAAAGGAAGTTTTAACTGCAGTTGCTTGTTTTAGAGCCCCAAAGCCCTGCAGTAACTAACTTTCTAAGAAAGTCCCCTTTCTGAACTGAAGTCCTGTTGTTTGGTTCTCTGATGCCTCATTATGAGACCACCAGGAATAAATCTGGAGCATAGGCTGAGTTCATCTAGGTAACAGATAAACCTATCCATGCACCAATTGCACTTGAATGTATTACCTTACTTCCATAAATCAGAAATAATCATTGCATTCATAGTTACAGAAAGTATTATTTTCATAAAGGAACAAAACAGAACATGACTGATGTTTTCATAGAATCTAAGGGTCTCATTTATTTCTGTACATGCATATATTTAAATCACCCACTTATTTGAGATTTGACAAGTCGAAATAAATTGCCAATAGCGTATGCTTTAAACACAAACCAAAAATCTATACCTTGTGCTTTTTAGTTGAATTTCAGGAGTTGAGTGATGCTGAAAAATGGCATTTGCGTTTGTTGTTTTAGCAGGGCTAGTGAGCTTTTCACAAGAACGGAGGCAGCAAAATTTCTTCCAGAGCAGGTATACAAGTGATTGCAATGAGAACAAGTAACAGGGTCCCTCCTATTATAGACCTGCAGCAACAGCAGCTGCTTGTTCTGTTCAGACACAGAAACACGTAAAGTGTCATAGGAGGATCAAAGTTACGTACGTTTTGGGGGTAGACAGGAATATTAAAGCTGACAAATTTATTTGATTTACATCCTAAAATGATTTTTAAATTAAACATGCCACTCGTGTGCGTTTTTGTCTTTGGTTATAGCATGGTGCAACACCTGAAGATGTACAACACCAGCAGTGAGAGATTAGCAAGTGCTCAGATATGCTGGCAATGACTGCAATGTAAGAGACTACAGACAGGGAAAATAGCCCAAAACCAAAGGAGTTGTCTGGGCTCTTATTTTACATTAGCATAAGGATTTAGCTTAGCATGGCAGAAGTGTTAGAGCTGTCAGAAGAAAAAGAAAACCCGGGAGCACCTAAAACAAAAGGTACCATTACTTTGGTTTGGTTTGTTCTTCCAGCTCTTCATCTGTGTTGAACTGAGACTAGATCCTGGCACAAGGAACAAGGCAAAGCTCGGAGCTGTTATCTTTCTAAGGACGCATGTGTTTCCTGATCTGTGAAGTCAAATGTAAGTATCCATTAAACACTGTTTCCTGAATTTTGATTACTTCAGGTAAAACCAAATCTTGTATAATTTGGGTTTTGTTTTTTCGTACTAATAAACTGAAAACTTAATAAATGTCTTTAATATGAATTTGAGGAATTCTGTTGTGAGAATTGCTCACTAGATCAAGGGTAGACAACTGATAATGGGCTCAGTTCATTGTTTTCTCAGGTTAGCTGAGTGTGCTAGAGTAAAAGGCTGGAAAGACCATTTCTGCAGTGTACCTTATACACAACCTGCCTTGGCCTAACACTAACCTAGTACTGATGCATCAAGATGTTACTAGGTCTCAGCTGAGAACTGATCCTGCCAGAATATCCTCTGTCTGAAAATGAGCCCAAGCTGCAGAATTATCTTTGGCTGCTCTGCAGCCACGGGAGGCGGCTCAGGATCAGCGGAGCACTGTGTACTGCAGCCGAAGCAACAAAGCGACCTGGCCCTCTCTCGCAGCTGGTACTGACTTTTTTTCCCCTTCTCTGCTTTTAGGTAGGGATACTGTGATTATGCTTCATTCCTTTCTCCTTTTTACCTGCCTGCGCTTGGTGAATACCTTGCAGTTAGCCACCTCTGTATGATGTACAAGTGAATAAAGATGATGCAAGCACAAAATATTGTCAACACTAGTAGTAGTTTTGAAGAAGAATTCAAAACTAATTTGATACAGTTCATTGATTAGAGCTATAAAGAGTGTAGGAAGTGAGTTGCAAATACATGTATTACTGACGTTTTTCACTGTTGCCACATTGCAAGAAGTGATGCGAAATGTCCTTCAGGTACAGAATGCTTATCTAAATACCTTGTGCTATAAAATGAACTTGGCCATAGTGCCTCAAAGGCCTTTATCTGATTCTGTTTCATTTTCCTGCGTTTGGTACAGTCATAGGAGCCAACTTATTTTTGCAGCTCCCCTCCAGCTGTGTTGCCATAGCTCTCTGCAAGAATTGGCTGGCTGCTTCCCCCTGAGTTGTATAATCACTCATGTCTCCAGCAGCATGGAGCAACCATCCTGCCCATGGCTATTCCACAGCAACAGGCACTTGGCTGGCCTTGCAACCGGTACGTGGGCTGGATAGGTTTAGGCAGCGTTTAGCCAGGCTGTTAGTACAATAGTATTAGTACAAGACTTATTCTGAGGAACCAGAAATAAGGACTTGTTTGTTATGAGTTAATATTAATACAGAGGCCGAGTCTGGTTGTGCTACACTGGTAACTTAATTTTCTTTCATAAGAATGCACAGTATAGGAAAATGCATAACAAATGCAGTCCTGAGTGTGGGAATTCTGTGTGTTCCTCTTCGTTTTGTAGGGCATGCTCATGTGTGTCTTCAGTCAGGTTGCCATTTGATTACAGCTTAGAAGGCCTGATGCAGAAAGATGCTTTAGTTTAATGCTCGTGAAAGTAATAGAAATTAACGGTTCACTTCATACAGGCATGCTATCAACACCACAGATGTTTATGTGGCTGGTGGTTTTACTGTTTGACATAGGTATCTTAAAGGTTAACATTTTAAGCAAGCTCAGCAGGACTCTGCTATTAACTTTTCCTCTCCGTTCCCAAGTTTTAATGTTCTCAGCAGCAGTCCTGTGGTCCCCCGTAACCAGTTTGTTGCCATTTACCATTAAGGACAGTAAGCTGGGGTGAGCTGTAATGCAATACATAGTACAGCAGCTGTGCGCTAATTTTGGAGTAAGAGAAGGAGTTTTCAATCTTTGTTAATGAGTTTAATGTACTGAATTTGTTTACTAAAGAATGATAAATATTTATGACCCACCCACTGCCATTGGCTCAAATTCTGTTTTTTTATTTTTTATACAGTGGTAGATATAAGGTGAAGTTTTACCCATTTCTGTAAAGCTACCTATGATTTAATGACAATAAGAAGAATTTGGCTCGCTTTTATTCCAACCTATCTGATTAGATCAGCAACAGAACCTCTAACTTAGGCACAATATACCACTAGTCACAAAAATCAGCCACTGAAATAAGGTGAATCCACTGTGTGCAGGGAAAAAATACGTATCTTTTTAAACAACTACCTGTCATCACGAGAAATTGATGTGTTGTGTTCTGCTGTGGTGCAGTATCATGGCAGCTGGAGATGGAAGAGACTCGAGGGACTGCTGCATCCCCAAGGGGCCTGTGCTGGGGGACTGTCCGCCGGTGAGAGGTACCAGGTTTATCCTAGCGCAGAGACATGTTGGTAAGCATCATCTGTCTCCTTTGGGATTTGATCCCTTTTTGTGTAGTGTCTGATGATACGCTTTTAACAAACTTTTCTTAAACTTTGCAGTAAGCCTTTTAGAGTTACGACCAGGCCGTTCTCCATCAAAAGCTTTAATCCCTATATGAATACTCAGTTTTATTAACATTCACGGTATCAAATACATTATCTGGCGTGGAGGATAAACTCTTCGCACTTGCTTTGTCTGCTCACAGAGCCGAGTTGTCCTCTGACAGCAGAACAGTCCTCGGACGGCTTCTCCTGAGGCTGGTTCCGACCCGGCGGAAGGAGCGGGGGGAGTGCGGCCTCACCCCGGCTCCAGGCGAGCGGGGACCGGGGAACCGCCGGCAGCCCTTGGACAGGTTGGAAGCAGCTGTTGTGCTGGGTACCTCTCCTGTCAGCCCTGATAATACATGTGCAGCGCTGGTTGTGTGAGAGAACTTTGAAAACTACGATTATGCTCATGTACAAACAGACTTCAATAATAATAGCTTAATGCTGAAACTTCAGGTGGGCAAGAAACTGGCGTGCACTTGTTTCGAACTTTTCACAAAATGCACGAGCACAAAGGAACACACTGCTTAGATGGTTGTAATTACAGCTTTTCCTATTTGTGTTTATAAATGCATATAAATTATAAAACACACACCTTCAACCTCTTGCAAGTGTAATAAATATAAAACAGGCCTTTACTAACAAAATTACTGACCTCCACTACTTCTTGCCTGCTAATGTTTGCTTCTTTCTTAGCTGGTATGATGAGAATCTATATCTCAAATTTAATACTGTTTGTATTTTACACGCTTGTTCTGTTCACAACTATTGCATGCATTTGCATAGTGCCATTTAATCTAAAAGCCAAAGAAGCACGTAGGAATTAAAGCAGTAGGATTCTCATAACATATCACCTGTTTCTGTGGAATCTTAGAATTCATCTAATTGCATTTAAAATGTCCTGCTGTAGGTGTGGTGTGGTTAGTTTTTGCTATTAATTTTTGAGTCCTCCATAAGGAAGGAAATATTTAGATCACTTTAAAAAGAAAAAGCTCCATATATTTCAGTTTTGCACTTTTAACGTAGTTAGCTACTAAATAAATATTGCATAGTAAATGCTTTTGCTATTCTTATTTCTACACTGATTAGTGGTAATACCGAAGTACAGGTGTTTTGCTCAGCAGTTTTGCACTTTGTCAGTATAACCTCTATAAGAAAGTTTGAGACAACTGAAAGTTTTGAGCTGTGTGACAACACCAACAACTGTCTGCTTTCTAATAGTGTTCTCTCTTGAGCTGACTTTTATGTCTATGTGAGGAGTAGTAAGTTTGCTTTGAACATCTGTCTGCTTTACAGAACCCCACTGAACGGTTAAAGCGCTCCCAGCCAGATGTGCCGTCTCCCATGCTGCGGTGCGGAGGGGCGTGAAAAGTGTGCAGCTGGGAAGCAATGACTGTCTGCTGAGACAGCTCCGGTCTCCGTGCGGCGGTGGGCAGGATGGGGTGAGCTGGGAGGAGCAGCTCTCACCTTCTCCAGGTACCTCTGGAAAGAATTCATAGCAAAGTTGCTGAGCAGGGAGCTTCAGTTTTGATTCTGTGCTGCCCCTCAAACTCCCTGATCTCTAGTCTTTCTGTGCTGAGTTCTAGCACCAGTGCGAAATCGAAATAAATACACGATGTGAGGAACACAATTATACCTCTATCTCTGATGACTAACCTCCTTCCTCACCCTAATTCTTTACAGGTTCCCTGTTTCATCCTATACATTTACCACCCTTGAAGGAACTATAATTAGTATAAACCAAACATATAGATGGTGCTTGCCACGTGTCTGAGTGTGTCTGCTTCCAGCACGCAGGATAGGATAGCAGCAGGTGAAGGATGTTTCTTCGCATCCACTGTGTGTCTGATTATGGTCCTGATCGCTTCCAGCCAGCCGCTGGCAGGATTTCCTTCATTGTTTTAAAAGCCCAGCTTTAGGTTCAGGTATCAAACAATGCTGATCTGCCCAGGTTCACATACTGTAACTTCACTATTGGATCAGAGAGAATTCTGGAAATGTCCTGAGAGACTGGTGGCCTAAGTTTGGGCATTTGAACAAGTCTATTCATTTCAAGTATTTAGTATTGCCTTATCAAATATGTGTTCTGCACATTCCAGCCTTGACCAGGATTGACTCACACTCTCTGCTTCTCCGTTGAAGCTGTGGGTATTTACTCAGTTGTGTTTTTCACCTGCTAGATTTGAAAAATAATTTTGTTTTCTCAGAGAAAGTTAATCTCTGGAACAGTTGAGAGTAAGCTGAGAGTTTAATGTTTTGTGGACCTAGATATTGTACTAGAAATACATTTCTGGTGCATTTTTTGTAATGTAATGTATACATTTTTCAGTGTGCATGTCCAGGTCTCACTTCTTACAGTAAAACCTTGGCCTTTAAACGCCCACATAAATTCCATTTGTAACTACAAAATCATACGTGCTATAATTCAGGATAATGGCCAAAACATCCTAGTTTAGAATACAGGGTAAAGGCTGCTGCATTCTCCCTGCTTTTTAATGATTTTTGTAGTATTAGCAATAAAAGTAATCAGTCAGCCCCCCAGATAGTAATACATATTTCTGAAGTATGTTTTCCTTCGTGTTCTGTTTTTCTAACTCTGGTGGCACTTTCCTATCCTGTTGTTGAAAATATACATTCTCATGAAATTGCATAGCTCATCATCTAGGGAGACACCAAATGCTGTAGTTTTTACTGTGTATGTCTGACACCCCTGTGCGATTTCCTTGCTTTGCTGGTAGTTAGTCTTGTTTTGAGCGCTGAAATGATGATACCATTTTTATGGCTGCTCAGGTGGGGGCCACCTTCTTGCTTTGACAAAGCTGAAACCGATGCTGAAAAGGCAGACACGGTCACTGGAAGAGATGTGTAGAAAAGGTAAGCCTGAAAATCTGCTGAAATGTTGCTCTTAAGCCCTCTGAAAACTAGAAAGAGGAGTTGGAAATGGATTATGGTCTCTTAGGGAATCGATTTTAAAAGTTGGAACACTCAAGCTAAAGAATATTCTGTCACAAAACAGTTTTCTAAAATGTGTTAATTTAAAAACAGTGTTGTAACATTGCTTGTGAGACGCCAACTTAAGTAACATGTTTGCATTGTTTATTGTATGATATTCTTACAATTTCCACTAGAGTGGGTGAAATTGAAATGTATGAATTTTTTAAATTGGGTATCTTAGTGAAATATTTGCTCGGCATCTTTTATACCATTCTGTTTACAATCAAGTTGACTGCATGTCATTACTTAATGCTATTTGTACGAACACTCCATGACAGAGGATGGAGAAATACTTAAAGAAGATAGAGCTGTAGAATCACAAGCATCAGTAGATCCTTCTAATGAGAAGTAATTCTAGCATAATTCAGTTGACAGTTTCCCTCTCAATTCTAATCCCTACTGTAATTTGTTAATAATCTTAAAGTTACAACAGATCCCTTTCAATTAAAGGATTTTAAATTATTTTTTTTTTAATTTAATTCCATTTGGACAATGATCTTTATATTCAGGCATTTTAAGTGAAATGTATTCAAGTTGTTCTGCCTTTGCAGCCAATTCCTTAGATTTGTGAGTTTTGACTTTCGCAGTGGTGGCACCTTCATCTAGAATGCCGTCTAGGAAGAGGTAGGCTTTTTTTGTCCAATTAAAATGTGACTAATTTTATTGAGGCTGGTGAATCAGTCCCTGATGCAGTAGGTTAGGGTCTGCATGGACCGCTGATGGGTACCCGAACTACAACAACTAGATTACGTTAGAAGTGAATGGCAGAAATAATGGGTACTTAGAATTTATATAGTGCCTTTCATTCCCAGGCTCCTGATTTCTGCACCAGCATTAATTACTGGCAGTTATCCATCACAAAAGTTGTTTGAAGTAGTAGTTCAATAGGTTGTTTAATAACTGGAGTTCCTCCAGTTTCACACTTGTGTAACTGAGACAAGAATTCTTCCAACTGTCTGTTCTTGGCCTTGGGCTAACATCTGGTTCTTAGCTTTAGCAGGCTATGGATAATTGATGGTTTCAGAAAGGAAGACGTGAAAGAAAGACCTACTCTGTTGTAAAATGCCCTTTGGATTCATTCTGGGGGCTGGTTGTTAGTTCCCTTTCAAAAGAAGGCGGGGGAAGATAGCATTAACCTAGCTAAGGGGTTTGGATTCCTGCTTTGGTATTTCATCTCAGCCCAGCCAAACCCCTGACCCCGCAGCTAACCTTGATCTTCTCCAGGGAGAGGCTGGCAGGACGCTCTCTCGACCTGCGCGAAGCTTCCGCCTGAGCGTACCGGTCCTTTCCATCTGGCCCCGAACTGGGCAATGGAGCCTTGGGCACATGGAAAGCTGCTACAGCTTGCAGGGCATGCTGTGTGAGACAGGCTTTTTAGTGCCTGGACACTCGTCTTTTTCTAGGTGTTTGAAGTCCCTGTCAGACACGAGCACACAGTGCATTTGCTTTCTCTTTAGGGCCTTCTTACAGACCTTTTCAGCGGCGTTACTGTATGTCTACTGGTATGAAAGTATACATAGGTGAAGTCCGCATGTCGGCACTTCTACAGAACTCAATGTTTCTCTGTTTTTTTACCTTTTCCTTTTGCTTCTAGTATGCTTTAACTTGGTGTTGCCCAATAATAAAATATATGCAAGCTATAGCACCACCTCCTGTCCAAAGTTGGGCTTTGGTGTGAATCAATAGGGCAGACCAAAAAGTTCACTTAAAGGTGGCTTTTTTTTTTTCTTCTGTATGAAACAGAATGCAGAAAATGTGAACTATTATTTATTTCAACTGACTTTTCTTGTGTTTTACCATAGGAATTTCAGAAATCCTAAGTCTGCTCTTACTGGATGGTTGTGGATTTTTTTTTTGCTAGTGTAAATTCCATTAAGAAAGTTACCAGCTGTTTCTGTTTTAAGAAAAAACAGTACAAAATGCTCCTTTAATGCTCCTTTAAAATGACTTTTATTAATAAGCTCCAAGTTCACAGATGATGTGCACAAGGCCTGTAGAGATTTTCGCAGAGAAAATGACTTGTGACTCTCCAGCTTCCGTGGCTTTAAAGCTTTTTTGGGGGCAATATCTGGCTTTTTGTTCCAGTTTTGTACACCACCTAGCCATGGTAATAGTAGTCTAAACTTCATAACTTTCACGAGGCCTTGCAAGATTACCTATGTACACATGCAAAATAAACTGTTCATACAGCTGTAGCGATAACAACAAACATTGCTCTATGGCAAGGCTAGTTTTTATTTTAGGCAATATTTCCCAACTCTCACTCCCTCTGGAACAAAGAATGGATTTAGGCCAGACATAGTGGAAATAAAGTATCAGTACTCAAAGACAAATGGGGAGGGATTGCTAAGCAGGCAGATGAATCTGTAGACAGGAATGCATCTAAAGATTTAGGTGAAGCACAAGAAAGCACAAAATCATGTATATGGCATAGCAATTATCCCATATGTCATATGGCCCTAATTGGTACAGCCTTATGCGATGCAAGCTTTTCACTGAGGGCAAAATTTGTTCTTTGTTTTTGGGAGCATACACAACTGGAATGAGCTACTGAAGCTGAAGATCTGTTTGCTTTAACTTCTGGTTGTTCCTGCATGTGCGTGAACCTAAAACCACTCCACGTATAGCAACAACAGATTTACAATGTGATCCCATACATTTTTGTGTATGAAAAAAAGAAAAAAAGGTGCCCAGTGGCCTGGGCAAGACTGTAGTGAGATCTTGAGGGTCAAAGAAAAAAATTTTAAAAATTCTGGGCGTAGGGAAAACAGAATAAACTTTTCATATAATGAAGTCGTTATTTCATCTGTATTAAGTGATCCCTTTGTTTTTGCGGCGCGGTCGAGAGACTGCAGGGAGGGTGCTGGCTTTCCTTGGCAAACCACCGCACCGGGCAGAGCTAAAACGCAGCTGTGTGTTGTGCAGAACCTTCTGTCTCTACCACAACAAACAGTTCGATAGGATGATGGAATCCGCTTGGGGGCCATCCTCACATGTCAAGGGACTTAGCAGAAAAAGGCACTGTGCCTGTTCTTATACTGCTTTTGCAACAAATAATAAGGAATATCTGATCCATTTACAGAATATTTGTCTAGTACTGATAGTGTCTAGTATGCATCAAAAATGCATAATGACCTCTCCTAAATACACCTAATACAGTGGGATTTGACTCCAAATACGTTTAATTCCAAGTGATACCAAACAGCTTTGTGCGTGAATCCTCAGTACAAAGGGTTAGAAATTAAACCAGGTATTGCGTAGGTAACGAGTGTCACACGGGCAACGTTGCAGCAGTTGTGTGAGCGATTCAATTGGCAGCAAAAAAACAAACCAGAAAAACCCACAACCCCAAAAAGCCAAAAGGGGTTCATCTTCACTCAAATCCTTTCACAGTTCTAGGTTAAAGCCTAGCCAGGAAGGGCCAAAATCAGCTGATGTGGGCACTCTTCATGTAGTAATCACTAGAACCATGACTGCTGCAGCAAGAATGCCACATACCGTTCCCGTTGTTAGCTCCTCACTTAAAATATATGTGAAAATGTTCTAGGAAATGCGAGAAGGATGAAGGTAAGTCTTTCAAGCTAAGAAGAATCGATGTTGTTCCCACAGATACTGTTGCCTTGCTTTACTTGGAAAGGTAATGTCTGAATGTTAGAGAGAATACTTTTTCCCTAGGAGCTAAGTAAACAATTTCTGTCCCTTTCCCAGCCTGGAGTTCAGATGGTACATTCTGTGGTTGAAAATGCTGACCTGAAGGCCGCCTGCCTACCATTAGCCAGCTTGGTGTGTAACTTTGGTTTTATGTATGGAGAAGTACACTGGTTTTTAGGACTTTAGTTGATACCTTTTTTTCCCCCTATTGATGTCCCTCAGAGAATGAACGAGATCTCTGATAATCTATTTGCTTAATTGGCAGCCAGGGGTCAAAGGATGGGAGAGAGTTAAAAAAGGAGATTTTCTTTAGATTCCAGAGACCTATGAGTCAGTATGTCCATGAGCAAAGGTTACATAAACTAATAGATTAGAACAAGATTTAGTTGCATAAACACTGTTACTGCATTTCAATCTGTCACAGAGTCAACCCTGCAGATTATTGCAGGCAGAGCTAGCCTGGGGCTTACAGTCCATCTCGCTGGACCGCCTCTGGCACTGGGTACCCCTGAAACAGCATCATTACCTTTCTGTGGGGCTGCTCTGAAATCTGCGTGCGCTACTTTATAGGTCTTATTCGTGCAAGCCTTATTTAGCGTACAGTGCTGTTGCTCTCAGCCTGTGTCTGATTTGGAATGTCACTCCGGTGTACGGGTTGCATAATAAGCTTGGTCTCCGTCTCGTTTAACCCAGGGTCATGCCCCTTAGGAGGGCGGTCCGATACAGGCAGCCACAGGGACTGGATCCAAATCCTCTTCACATTGCCCCAACTTTCCTGAAGCCTCTGTCCTCTGTCTCTGTTCCTTCCATCATACTCTCGCCTCTGGGCTCACTTGAAAGAGTCAAGGAGCTCAGATGGGAGGGATCCTGCCGCATGGGGCAGAAATGGGGATGGCTGTGCTGCCCGTGCATATTGCCCAGGGAAAGGGAGGCTGGGTTAGGGGCGTTGAGTGGGCTGGAGTCAATCCACAGGCTGTGGGGCTAACAGACAGCTGTCTTATGATGACTGTGGTCTGAACTCTTGGGAATCTTCTGGGTCGTGTGTGAAAACAAAGCCTTTCTTGGAGCTGCAAAGCTGTTTTTTTTTCAAAGTGCATCAGGGTCAGAAATTATGCTCCCGGGCTGCAGTACTTTCCCCTAGTGCAGTGTTTTCCTTGGTGCTTTCCCCAGGTTCTTGCTGATACCATTTCCTCATTTTCCATTTGGGGACTGAGGCATCAAAATTCAAGTGTTTATTTAGATGCTTGAGTCCCATTAAGTAGAGGTAACTGTCTCTACAGCAGGCTTTTTCACAGCACTCGGCCCTGGGCACCGGCTAAGGTCTAGAAAAGGCTCCAATACTTTTGTTTCTATTTGTCATCCAAAGACCAGATCATTTTCTTTAATCACAGCTGGCAAAAATCAGCTAAAGAGGTGTAGTATATACATGAATGTGCTTTTGAAAAGAGTGCAGATCCACATGTGCAAGAGTGTCTTGGTGGACAAGTCACGTAGGACAGAATTATTGGTGACTTCTCAAAGTGTAGTGGTTTGTACTGGGTGTTTTTTTCTAGGAGCAGGCCCTGGGAGCCCTGCCAGCTTATGTGGTGCTGGCTTGCCTCCTTCCCAGTTGAGAGTAATGGAACAGATGGAAGACTAGCGATGAAATGCAGAGCGAAGCTAAACATGTGATTAAATTCTCAAAAAGGCCGAAGCTCTTATTGCACGAAAGGCAGCTTAAAGCTACCCCAAAACTGGCTTGAAGGGTTATTTTTTTGTGCAAGTATTTATTGCTTTTTGCTACTGGCTATTAAACAACTGTAGAGAACAGGGGAGACATTCTGGTGGTTGTGCGTGGGAGGAAATGAGATCTGGGGAAGAGAGAAGTGAGAGCAGAGTGCCCATGTGATAGTCCCTTGATTTAAGATGAGATTTAACGTTTCATGTCATGAAATCTTTGGTTTATAACCAAACATGCTTAAAGGAGGGATCTTGTGTGCATTCTCTGTAATCAGCTGTTGTGCTATTCATTTCATAACCAAAACAAAAAGAACGTTGTGCAGAGATTCACTAAGCCTCTGAAATCTATGAGCTTGCTTATATCAGCAGGCTGCCTTGCAAACTGCCAGGGCGAAATGAAGGCAAAAGAACAGGTCTGCTGTGTTGAGAAAGCTGCTCTTAAATCCAAGATGAAAAAGAAAGATGACGCAGCTCAAAACCAGCAGTTTTCACAGTACTGAAAAGCCTGACAGCTTTCAAAAAGATTAATCCCTTTAAGAGGAGTACTACGTCTTTGTCGCTTCTTGAAAAAAGTCGTGCCGGTAGTGTTACAGCATTATTCCTGAGAAAGATGAACGCAGATGACCTAGCAGATTTCGCAAAAAAATCTTTATAAAACCAACAGATGAGGTGAACCCCCGCAAATCATCTTCATTTTCACAGAAAAATAAAATTGCCGAATAGAGGCTTATTCATAGACCCCAGTAGCTACAGCCGGGCTGTCTAACCAGTGGTTATCTTCTCCCAGGCAGAAGGAGCAGAAGTCGTCATGCTGCTCAGTAGATATAAACACTCAAAATGTGTCTGACAGCGATGCTTTTCTAAAAAGAGATGTACGCCCTGCCCCCAACCTGGCATATCCTTTGTTAGATGTATGGAAATGGCTTTTTTCTATTGACCTGTCTATCTTCAGTATATAGTAGTGGAGTCCATGAAGAGTAAGGCCATTACTGCCTGTTAACAGTGGCTTTTTAGTAGGCTGTCGTATGCGTTGTAGTGTACCAAGGCTCTCTAGGCGAAGGGTTCCGCCTCAGTTTTTGTGCCACAGAATGCTCATCGGATTAAATGAACAACTCGCCCTCAGAGCAGCAACTGGACCCCAGTCTCCTGTCCCCATACTGACT